AGAAGTATTATACAATATATTTATTTCTATGAATTTTTGCAAATTTTGCCTATTGAAGGTTTAAATCCCACTTGGAAGAATTCAATATATGCAATTGGTACAAAAAATTTTTCTTTATAATTAAAATTCAGTTTATGCAAATGAAAAGTTAGAAAAATAAAAATTTTATTTGATTAAATTTAATCCAGTTGCCAAAATAATTAAATATATATATTGATACTTCCACCTTTTGAAGAAAATGCGGAAAGAGCGTCAATTCCATTGTCCGAGTCAAAACCTTCATTTAAATGCTCATATTTCAATTTGTGGACTTTGCAGCTGGTGATGCGATAGATAGAACGATGGTCAGATAATTAGTGATTGACTGAGGCATTATAAGGATGCCTCAAAAACAAACAGGAAGCCGTGGTAAGGCTTTTTGTGACGCGATTTCAAGTGATCATATATGGTAATTTACCCATGAAAGGGTTGAGTGATGTGGTGACATTTATGGTATTGACAGTAGCAGGGATGCCCTGGATCCAAAAATGATTGAGAGTCCTAAGCTTGTATTAAATAGATTTATGTATCCCACTCACAGAGCTGGGCAGCGCTACTTGGAAATGTAGCGGCGCTACCACTACCGCTACATGCTCTAAATGTAGTGGGCGCTACTGCTACACCCACTAGATTGTAACGGGCGCTACCGCTACAGTAAAATGTAGCACAGTACATTAGCCGCTAGGCCCGCTACAATGGCCAAAATTATTGGAAATCTCTAAATATTTATTGTTCTGCTATTTGAATTTACTCATTAACATTTAATGATAATAAACATTTTTAAAACATATCAATGCAACTTTATTGCAATTAACCTAACCGAACTAGTATGGGTTCCCCAGGGTTAGATACAGTAAATAGAAGTTACAGTTATTTTTATGTTTTACCTTCCCTATATATTTTTATGTGGGAGGGGGAGGAAGGTAGGGGGGGGGGGAAAAATGTGAAAAAAAATGGGAAGAACGTGAAAAAAAATGATGAGGAAAATGAAAAATCAGGGCTCTACAGTCGCTAGATATTGTTGTTACAAATCAAATGATATGTGTCTTGACATTGTAGCATGTGATTTGCAAAAGTTATAAACTTATTTAGAGTACCCCTTATTTGCCGTTTTCTATTAATTCCACGTTTTCTTTCATTTTTTTTAATTTACATGAACAAAAAGGTCTTAGATTTCTGTTCTACACATGTGTACCAAATTTCAAAACGATCCGTCTGAAAACAAAAAAGTTTTGTTGGAGGGTAGCCGGTCCCCTTAAGTAAAATCTAAAGGCTTTATCTATAAATGTAGCGGTAGCGCTGTAACGGCAAAACCTCGTATCGCTACTTAAATATGTAGCGGGCGCTACCGCTACATTGCCTTAAATGTAGAGCCGCTACTGCTACTGAAAATGTAGCGGCCGCTACATGTAGCGCGCTACTGCCCACCTCTGCCCACTCATAGGGCATAATGCATGAGTCACCACAGTAATTATTTTAGTAATAAAAATTATTTATTGTATTAACTAAATCAGACCTAAAATTTATAATAACACATAAACAGCTTACTAAGCTAAGTGAGCTTAGCAGTATTTTATTTACAATTTCAATATTATTATCTGTATCTTTTTACACATGCCTAGTACACTTAGGCACATAGACCATAGTAACATACTGATATAGTGCTGCTGTTTTAAATTTGCAATACTTGAGGGAAATAGTTCGACTGAAACTATTAAAAAAAAATACAATACTGGAAAAGTTTTTGCAAGTTTCCACATATTTCATCTTCTTTGTGTATTACTACAAGACAAGAAAAGGTACTTTTAACCTGTATTACATCATTCAGCACATTAATATGTGAGACAGTGACACCTAAAGTGTCATCAATGCAAGAAATATGATATTATTTCTATTATTTTCAATTTGGAAGTTGCTAAATGAGTTGGTAGAGTGTTTTCTGATGTACCATAGAATGGGGTAACTTAGACCACTTTTCTTTATAAATGATGCCATTTTTTTACTAGCTAAATTAAACTTGAATTGAAACATGCAAAATACAGGTCTATACTCTAGCTTCACTCACCATAAATTGCTGGCTTCTGCCTCTCATAGTCTTTATGTAATTTCAAAAAAAGTGATGGTCTTTGTTACCCCAGCTCCTTGGGTAACTTAGACCGGGTGGTAAAATCAATTATATTTTTTGGTTGGTAAAATAACTCCAAATAACTCCAGGTTTTGGTGCATTGTAGTAGAACTCTTCTAGTTACATATGCAAATGACAAACTTGAGGAAAGTGTCATAGTTTGCAAATGGGGGGTGCCGCCCCATAATGAGGGAAATGTGACTACCTAATGGCAGCCCTGATGGGGTAATATTAACTGGCTTGGAAATTAAGTTAAAATTACCATATATAAGACTCTGTAGAGTCTGAAACATAAAGATTGGAGGGGGTACTCTGACAGGCTTTAAATAATAGCTTTTTTTGTGGGTCACATTTTTAATTTTTTAACCTATTAGATATGCAAACTTTTCAAATCTTTCTATTGTGTTATGTAGCCTCAGTATTAGGCCTTTAATGCCCATTAACAAAATTTTTCTATGTCAAATAGTTTTTGAGTTGTGGGGTTTTTGTTAAAAAAACAAAAAGTGGTCTAAGTTACCCTGCCGGTCTAAGTTACCCCATTTTACGGTAAGTGAATGTTCATAGAGCCACCTTCCCAGATTGCAGTTGGAAAAAATGGCTTCATCAATTTTTAATCGAAATAAGTTGGTATCAATCAAGCAGATTACACATTAAAAATTATTTTAAACACTTTGACTGCAACTCACAAAATGGCCTGTATTCCAGTGATGTGACTCATTCAAACTTGAATAACTTTGTTACAGACATGACAGCAAGATGGGAGCTAGTGTGCTTCTCTTGTCTAAGCAAATTCTGCAAGCTTCTGACATAAAAACCATGAACTTCTATTGGTGCACATTGCCTGGAATGGAAATTTTCATCTTTCTAGGCAATGTGTGCCATATGAGGCACATGGCATTGGTATTATACAACTACAATAAAAATTTGCATCACACAAGTATTGATGCTTAAAAAAAAGTTTTCTGGGCAAATGGAATTGGCATTTAACTGCTATAGGTACTCAAATACAAATTATTCTGGGGTAAAATGCTGCTAAATGGGAAGCTTATGATTTAATTAGATGCTGTCTTACAAACCTGCACTAAGACAAAGCATGAAATGTTACCAACACCTGTTCAAGTTGTTGGCAAAAACTGCTGTAGCAAATGCCTGGGTGAATTGAAAGTTATTGAAGATGACTGAATGTATTGTCACTAGTAATAGGTCAGACATGCCAAAAAATGTTTCTATGACCAAATCATGACTATTTTAGATGTCTTCATTCCATCGCTAAATTATTTAAAGCTGAGGATCTGAATTTTATGATGAGCTACCGCTCTGAGTCTTGCTGTAACATAATTGTGAAAAAGGAAATTAGTGCTGAAGTGAAGTACTGGGAATCCATTTCACTGCATATCTTGCTTTTTACAGTGGCATTCTGTGATAGCATAGGCAACTCTCAGATGTCTAGTGCCTATTTTTCTACTCCTATAATCCATACCAATACTGAAAAAATAATTTTCATCATATTGGTATGGGATAGTACCCTTTATTTAATACTTCTTCCTTTTTGTAACTACTCATTATTTCAGGCTTGATTTTAACTACTAAGATTCTTATGATTCAATTGCATGACATTCTTATAAATTTTTGAAAGCATTACGTACTGTATTGTCAATTATCTATTATATTTTTCACAAGTTGATTATCTGGCTGATGTTTTAAAGAAATTTTTTAAGAAGTTATGGTGCATGTCACATTAACAGTCTCAAATTTTAAATTTTCTAATTATATAATATATACTGTAAAATGGGGTAACTTTGACCACTTTTTTTCAAAATGATGCCATTTTTTACTAGATAAATTAAACTTAAATTGAAACATGCAAAATACAGGTCTATACTCTAGCTTTACTCACCATAAATTGCTGGCTCCTGCCTCTCATAGTTTTGATGTAATTTTAAAAAAAGTGATGGTCTTTGTTACCCCAGATCTTGGGGTTTCTTTGACTGGGTGGTAAAATCAATTTTATTTTTTGGTAAAATAACTCCAGGTTGTGGTGCATTGTAGTAGAACTTTTCGAGTTACATATTCAAAAGACAAATTTTAGGAAAGTGTCATAGTTTGCAAATGGGGGGCGCCGCCCCCAAATGGGCGAAATGTGACCATCTAATGGCAGCCGTGATGGGGTAACATTGACCGGTTTGGAAATTAAGTTAAAATTACCATATATAAGACTCTGTAGAGTCTGAAACATAAAGTACCTATGGTAATTTTAACTTTATTTCCAAGCCGGTCAATGTTACCCCGTCACGGCTGCCATTAGGTGGTCAAAGTTACCCCATTGGGGGGCGGCGCCCCCCATTTGCAAACTATGACACTTTTTTAAAATTTGTCTTTTGCATATGTAACTAGAAGAGTTCTACTACAATGCATCAAAACCTGGAGTTATTTTACCAAAAAATAAAAAAATTGGAGGGGGTACTCTGACAGGCTTTAAATAATAGCTCTTTTTCGTGGGTCACATTTTTAATTTTTTAACCTATTAGATATGCAAACTTTTTAAATCTTTCTATTGTGTTACGTAGCCTCAGTATTAGGCCTTTGATGGCCATTGACAAAATTTTTCTATGTCAAATCGTTTTTGAGTTTTGGGACTTTTTGTTAAAAAAATGAAAAATGGTCAAAGTTACCCCGCCGGTCAAAGTAACCCCATTTTACGGTAACTAGCTTTATAATTAAAAATTTATAAAGATAGACTATGTTTTAAAATTTTCAACTTAAAATCTGAATGTCTGAGAACTTGACTATTGCTTGTTTTGGTAATGGCAACTAATAAATATTTTTTTATTTTTAAAGACAATTGGTTTAATTCTCGTGTTGATCATTGATAAATTTTCAAGAGTTAATTTATTACACTATTAAAAATTGTTTCTATCAGAAATTGATATCACAAATGGGTTATTTAGGGTTTGCTGTTGTTCTGCTTGCCTCTTTTGAGGTTGGCTATTTCCTAAAAACGTTTGTATGGACTCTGGGAACTCGGATCTTGAGGTCTAGAATTCATCCTCTGCAGTACTCCTCAATTTATGGTGAGTAATAATCCTAGTGATTGAGCTATGCTTTGTGAAGTTTCTGTACGAGCTCGTTTCATGGCAGCTTCACCTCTTGTTTGTGTAAGAATGCTTGCTATAGTATGCCTAAGTATGAAGGCATTCAGTATTCCCAAGTACCAAATTGTGATAATGTCAGTGATTTTTGCTGATATGGTCAGCCAATAATGTTAAATCCAAGTTATCCATGATGGAAACACTAAACTGTTATTTACCACAGCATATCTCATAGCTAAGTTGTTAATAAATGTCAATTAAGACTAACCTACTGATTCATGTTCACAAATAACTAATGCACTTATTAATTTTTATGCAAGGCTGAAGCGCTTATTCATGTTTACACAGGACTGATGTACTCAGATATGCCTCGACAAGATTAACGTGCTGATTTATATCTTCAAAAGATTACAATATTGATTCATATCTTCACAAGATTAACACACAAATTCTTGTCCCTTACAGATAAAAGTTTTGATTCATATCTTCACAAAATTAACGCATTTATTTATGTCTTCTCAATATTAAAGTTTATGCTTCATATCTTCACAAGATTAAAGCACTAATTTATGTCACCACAAGATGAAAGTTTTCACTTGATTAACTCACTGTTTAATCTCATGTGCAGGAATTGTCACAACCCGAGATATCGATGTGTTCCTCACCCACCTTAACAACTCGCGATTCTTGCGCGCCATGGACTTTGGTCGGTTCGATCACATTTTCCGCGGCAGGATCAGCGCAGCTCTGACCAAGACCAAGTCTAATGCTCTTGTGTCAAGCTCCGTAATTCGGTACCGGAAGCCTCTGTACATATTCTTGCCTTATGCCATTGACACAGGGGTAAGCAATCTATCTTCAGTTCTTGCTGTGAGAAGTATTATTTTACTAAAATTAAATGTGAAGAAATTATATATTGAAGAAACTTCTTGTTCTTAGTTAATATGCATGAATGGATGGTGCCTCATGATGGTACATCAAATGACAAAATTAAAAAATTTTTTGTTTGTGAAAATTCAGTTTAACGTTGATTAAATTTACTTCATTCATAGGCTGAGAGCATGATAAAACTGCTAAAAATTGGAGTTAAACTTTACATTTAGAGCTGAAATATTTCTTACATCTAGAATTGCATTATATTAATGATCTTAAATTCATAGGTATCTGTGTTGTTTTCAACGACAGCTCATTTCATGTCTATTTCTTTTGTCTAAATTTCATATTCAGTCATATTTTATATTTTTTGTCCGTAATACAATTATATGTGTATTACATTACCGGCTTTCAAATTCCATATGTTTGCCTGGAAGTAATTGAGGTCGTTGGTGCCCACAGGTGGTGTACTGGGACGACCGCTCAGTGTACTACCGCCAGGACGTACGTACTCTTCACGACAATTTCGTGCGCGGCACAGCCTACCTCAAAGTCACCATGATCGGCGCGTCGCCCGCCGACCTCCTCGAGTACGCCCTTAAAGGCTACCGGGGATCCATGGACTGGGGCAAGACCTTCATACCGCAGGTGCTTGTGCCTGCTTCTGAGGGAGGGAATTCAGAAGCTGTGGAGACACAGCTACCGTCGGACCTGCGTGGGGCTAAACATTTCTTTGACAAGCGCTCCTTGCCTTCTGACATCGAAGCTTTCCTGCGGTTTAACGAGGAAAGCAGTCTGAGGATCAAAGCGAGTGGCTTGGTCAAGGGAGCTACCAAAGAGGCTGTCAAGAGGCTACAGGAGGAGCAGGCTCTAAATTCTTGCAGGCCTACACAAAGTCGCATGAAATCCGAGTGAGTGTATCTTTACTTATCTTCTGATTGTCGACTGCAGCAACTCATGCTGCTCGTGCAAAGAATTTTGGTGCCACTTTGGAGTTAAGACTGAGTGATCCGAAAGTAGAGGTTTGTCTCTCCATTTATTAAAACTCCAAACCGCGGATGAAAAGGCTTAAACGAGTCAATGTTAAATTATTTACAGCAGTAACAAAATTTATAACAATCCTTTGCTGCATGCAGTATTTATTTTTATTTCTAAGGAAATGGATAGAATTGCCAAGCTGTATGAGTTTGATAACTTAATGGTAGTCATTTCCATAGTGGTAGTCTGTTGCTTTAGTAGGATTAGACAAATGAGTTCGGGATGGCTGTGGAATATAATTAATCGGGCTATCAACAATTTAGTCAAACAAATGCCTAGTTTTCTGAAGCATGAGGAACTGACAGCAGAAAGCTTATTAGTTGACACATTACATAATAATTCAACACAAAATTGTTCTTAATGAAGACAAAATTTACTTGCGAATAACAGAGGTTTAGAATTGTACGGTGTGAAGCAGTGAACTCTCTTAATATAACAGAATTTATTAAGACCTCGGTTATTTATATATTTAGAACAGGAATGCAGCCAAACCACCTAACATCTAATTCGTATAGACACAAGTTCTTCGTTATAACAAAGCTTACACATTCTTTTATGATAACTTGAAACTCGACGTATTTTCTGGGATGTGTTGTTTGTGCCAACTTCAATGCACTAAAAATGTGCGATCTTGCACCCCATTCCGGGGTGGAATGAATTTTTAAAAAGCTATTTGCCATCAAGACCTTGCACCCGTTGCTAATTGATAATTCCAGTGAAAGGTAGTCTCAAACCTGTACTGAAGTACAGAACGACACTATCGCAAATGAAGAATTATTCTGTCGCAAAACACTTTTTAAAAAATTGTATTCTGCCTTTTCGTGCGTCTTAGTTGTCAAATTTATTGTGGTTGACTGAAAAATGCACACATCGTAGAAAATTAAATTCCACGTGTGCAATTCAATTGATTGAAATTCGTAACCATTGTGCAATGCTGCTTAACCCTCTACTGCCGGATGTTACTCTCTGGGAGCGTAACTTTCAACTTGAATTATACATAAACTATTGAGTGTAGCAACCTGAGGACGTTTGTACGTAATAGAGAACATTTTAAAGTTGTCGTACGTGGCGGCAACCATCACTGCAGGTCATTTTGCGCTCACTAGAACGTATTCTTTTTTGGAAGTAGGCTTGTGACAATACTGTACCGGTTACTCGTGTCAGGCGGTAGAGGGTTAAAGTTTGTATGGGTTGTTGTTTATCATCTAAGATTATTAAACGAGATGCCGTCAGTCGCATCGTATTCGCTGCCGGCGAGGGACTTGGTCAACGGTTGATACGAGACCGGTGTATACTTCCATAGAAATGAATGGGTCATAGTGTCCGAATTGTGACTTACTTTCTTACGAGCATAGAGTGGACGTAGCTGTGATTAGCTTTTTTGCTGGACCAAAACTGGGTCAGGATGACCCACACAAGTTTAAAAGGTAACGTGATATTTTGATAAAGTCTCACTCATTTCCTTGAGTGTATCGTCGCCTGCTCCTATGCTTCACTTGCTTGTATATTTTGTTGACGTTTTTTGCTTAATATTTTAGAAGCTGAGGTTAAAAGAGCACATCTTTTTTATAATTTAATTTATATTATAATCGCTTTTTGATCTGTGATTTTGGTTGACGGTAAGTAAAGAATCTCATTTATTAAAGTAAGAGGAATATGTGATCATTGAACTCATGCCAATCTTGTGGCTAGTGACAAAGTTTGGTTTTCTCCGTCATATTTTCCAGTTGTACAGAGGAAGAGGGCTCGATTGTTGCTCGCGTAATGAAGTATTTGCATTCGCTCATAGCATTACACTTTATTGTAATAAATGGTGACGTTACCTAGTAATAATGTTCTGAATGAAGGGAATGTAGACATTTTGATTCTCTCTTGGTATGACTCCTTAAGTTTAAACTGAACAAGACAAGTGTACCCGCGGTATTTAAGTGGTCGTTGCGTCGTATTTATTTATTTAAGTATATATTTTAGAAATCTCACAGGGTGTTGTTCTTAAGTTGACTATAGAAAAGAAACCGCTCTTAATGGGGTGAAATATTTTGTAACTATTTCGTGCGACCTTTTTTTATGCCTGTGTTATAAAAATGGATCATCTGTATAACTTGATTATATATATTTGAGATTTCCTAATCACGAATATTATACTATGTTAGCAAATTTTTAAAGCTAGGCTTCTGGAACGTTTTTCTGGTTTCAAATAGCAATGCTCCACTGCTCTGCGCAAAGTTCTAGATTTTCTCAATTTTAGTTGAAAATTTTAAATGTTAAAAGTTCGTTGTTTGCAAACTTATGTGTAAAAAACTTTCATGTAGTTTCATCACTACGTACTTTCACAGTGAGATTGACTGCACAAACATTCGAGCGCTGGAGCCATGTCGTTACGGTTATTGTTTGGATGATTTCGCATATTTTACATTATTATTTAATGATGGTTATATAAATCATAACGATTATTATTTTAACGATAGCGCATATTATATATTATTATTTAATGATGGTTATATAAATCATAACGATTATTATTTTGACGATAGCGCATATTATATATTATTATTTAATTATGGTTATATAAATTATAACGAATATTATTTTGATGATGGCGCATTTTATATATATTTTTTTGTATGTTACGAATGATCACGACTGTTGAGTTGATACAGGCATATTGTGCATAGATACTTGTGCCTATTTCATATAAGTATATTTCTTGTCTCTTCCTAGACCCTCATCTTTTAGCTCAAAAGGGAAAGGTTCCGCTGTTGGTTTTATAGTCATAATCGTTTTTCTTGTACTACATTTTATTGTGTTCTTCCCTTTACAAGACAAGTTCAAAGAGCACCGAAGTATAGTTCCGAGTCATAGTTCCTAGCAATATTATAATTTTTGTAGAACTAGAAAGGATTGTATTATTATTATCAAGTAAGTTATTAATTTACACTATATTCAGCATTTTACTTGAATGTCACCGCCGCATCACTTTTCCTCATTTGACCAAATTGAAATAAGGTTTACACCCAGAAAAATGGATGGGTTGTGTTGTCCAAATAGTGAAACACTTTATGCATGTAGTGACACACTCTATGCACTGATTCGGGGCTTATTCCGCTGAAAACTGGATTAGGATGGCCCGCAAAAAGTGCATCGCTATTTGGACAAATCTCTTAAGCTTGTCTGAGTGTACCTTTAATGTTGCGCTTGCCAATACCGCGCTGCATCTCAGCAACTTTTCGCCGAGTTAGTTACTGCCTTTTGACTTGATCTCCTTAAATACTAATAATTTTATTCGAAATGTATTCTTATATTTCATTTATAAATAACTTGAAAAATCTAGTTGATGAATTGCCAGTTGTGAATAAAGGGTTAATTAAGCGGTAACATCTCAGCTGAAGGTCTGTGTGACAATACTGCCTAGCTCCCAAATTAGAATATATACCGAAAATGTGACAAAATTTGATTTAACAGTGCGCACAAAAACTAAGACTGTGTGATGAAACTTGGGAAATTAAATTATAATTGATTATGTAAGAGGTATTGATTTAGGATGAAAAATCGGAAAAGAGTAGGAATGGTGTCATTGTGTAAATTTTTTGAATGGATGTTACGCAATGTCATTAGCGACTTGAACTCCAGACTAAACCGTTGTACGATTGCATAGACACGCGAAGGTCGGTCTCATCGTAGCCCTATAATGTAAACCTGTCTCAAAACACCACAATATCTACCTAAAGAAATGATCGGGTTACGACTACCTTTTAATATTTCCTTGTATTCGATGAATGTTTTCACTGTCGCATCTTATTTATTGACCTCATTAACGTGTCCAGCAGAGCCCCAATATAAAGAAAGAATTCCTGACCGGGAGCATTTCATTTACCATTCATGTTGGGCTTATTTCTTCCATTGCATTTACGAGTACGTAAATGTGTAGATGATCGACGCCAAAAATATTTCTTGCTCAGCGAACATTTTCTGCACTCAATATCTGCTTTAATTCTAGGCTAAGATTGATTTCATATTACAATTGACTCACAATTGCGCTCTGGAGTAAAGCTAATATTTCATCCACTCTGAAACTCCTAGTACCTACCTGAGAATACGAGTATTCTTCATCCGGTTCCGTAACTCATGCACGACTCCGATGTCTCGATTTATCTTCCACCTAAGGAGTTCCTTTGCACAAATTCAAGTTAAAAAGAGTCCTGATCAGTTAATTCAAAATCGTCAAACATATCAACATTGGAATAATCGTCTAATATGAAAGAATAATAAGCGATTCTCAGGAGCGCTGGGATCAAGCCGGCGAACCGTGAAGAGGAAAGAACGAACACGTAACCAGGGGTCTCACCTTCCCATGACTTGTGTTGGAATATTGAAGTGTGCTGGGGTTTCGTTTCATGCACCGAGATGCAGGCTCTGGTAAGTTTATTCAAGACTTAACTGGAGCAGTATACTGAATAATCTGTATGATGCACATGGTAATAGCATGCCAAACCACCTTCGTGCTCCTCAGTAAAAAATTAATCAGCATTTTGTTCTTCGCAACAGAGCATTGTAGCGAAATTTTTTTACAATAAAATGAAGAAATGTGGCTGTGAAAATGTACGAAACTACACAGGACGATGAATAGTAAGGTTTTCCATGTTCAATTTATTAAAACAATATTTCCAGTCCTCGACACTACATCAAGGATCAACATCAAGTACTTAGTAAAACGGCAGTGATGATCTGTGCAAGCTGGAAGTATGGCCCGGGCTTGGGGATCCACTCGCTTGGATAGTTCGTTTCATGCAACAAGTCACATTATCAAAAGACAACGGATAATAAAGGCGCACAAAATTAATAAGAAGCCAATTGATAATCCCTAATTTGTATCGTGAATAATAATTGATTGCACCAGGAATGCTCAATCATAAGAAAAATGTACGAACATGAATTGGGAGCTCTCAGTTATTCTTTCACGCAGCTATTCAAAATTGACTTCGTGGAATAAAATTAAAAGTGAGAAAATAAGTAAACGAACAAAAATTATAGAACTAGCGGTCTATTTTCCAAGTATTTAAGAACAAAGTTTAAAAAGATGAAGCAACTAATCCAAATGAATGTTCGTAAGGTGAATAATCTAGATTAGTTGCTTTATCTTCGAGTAAAGTCATACCCACTGAGCAGCAATCGTTTAAATTTCCATTTGCATCACGAAGACAGATTCTTGATGAACATTTATAACCCACGACATGGCATTTTAGTAAATTGAGTTCAACCGCATGGTGTCACAGCACCTCAGACATGTTCAAGTAGCGAAATGAACACGGGTATTGTGCATTAAATACCGAAACTAACGTCACGATTTAAAATTTAACTGCATTGAATATTGAACACCATAAATGAGAATTAGGAATTTTTAACGAATTAAAATGTCCTTAAGACTCAACAAGTTGAGAAAATAGAGACTAAGTACAAATTTTGTTGCTGGTTTCAATGAAAAAAAAAAACGAATGAATCCGTAATTGGATGGTGCGCTGAATAGGCATTTGCAGTTAATAAAAATGTCGAGTTCTGATACCTAGGATACCCGTTTCTAAGGAATTTTCTATACTGGTTTGAATAAATAAATCTTATGAATATTCTACATCTAGGTAAGAGAATACATTCTCAAGGTCAATATTAAACTAAGGATAACCATATTCAGCGAATAGACCTGGAAATACACTGGTAGGGAAAATGTCGCTCGCCCAATTAAAAAAAAGTCTTCTAATAAGCAATGCTAGATTTATGAATGAAGTAAAAAGTGATGGTCGAAACGATAAATCCGGTTTCATGAGAACACGTATTCGGAGTAACCGGTACATGGCATGAAACTAATATGAAGGCTCTCAATCATATTCAAAGGTCAACACTGGCATTTACATGATTACTGACAAATAAATGTCAAGTGCTGCCAAGAAAAACTAATAAATTGCAGATAATCATGAAACCATAAGTCATAATTGATAACAATCCGCTTATAGAGAGCAATTGATGTTGGAACATAACCGTAGACCACATATCAAGCATCGTCTCAACTCTTGAAACCATCGAGTGACTCCATTCGCTGGCATTGACCAAAGAAAGGACGATCGAGAATGATCAATATTGAGTAAGAGGGCAAATTTCACACTATTTTGGCTGATGCGGCTAGTCGCAGCCGCGAAACTTGAAGAAAGGTGGGCACTCGCTCAAATTCGCGTTCTCTATCAATTAAGGTACCTACAAGTGTGCTTCAAAGTCTATGAGCGATGAACATGGCCCTATGAAAATTATGTTCGCAATCTCCGTCTTAGCCAACCAGCTATGAAACATGAGGATTCTACACTGAATTATAATACTTCGCATGGTTAAAATTTTTTCGTTTTAGTGGTCCAATTGTAAAATTTGGACTTAATTTGACAGGTTTATTATGTACACCATAACAGCCTACTGACTTGCGACTTCGATAAAAATGAGCTATGAATGGAATACTTGGTTGGCTGAGAGAAAAATATAGCTCGATTCTAGCATATATACAAGGAATATAGCACGCACTCTGTTCTATATATATGTACGAGTTTCTTTATACAGTTCATTATGAAGAACTGAGCTGGTGGAGCACGTTTCTTCAAACAGAGCCAAGTGTGTCAAGTAGGTAGAATTTCATCAAAGATTTACATGTGATAGCAATAAAAGAATATAAAAGTAAAATTCAGCGGAGAAATAAAAAACCTCGATTCACAAGATAAGAAGATTACGAAAAATCCTTAATTATCAGCCGCTTCATGTTTCTTGTTTGGAATCCCCGGCCGCCCCGCCTTCTTTCTCCGCAACAGCAGATGCCGCTCCAATGGCTGACTTCTCAGCTCCGTTACTGGCCGCCCCTTCTTCAGCACCAGCAGCTCCCCCATTCTTTTTCTTCTTGTTCAGCTTGTAAGAGCGATCATCCCGGCGACCATCGCCACCTTCGTCCTCCGAGTCCGAGTATTCGTTGTCGGGCGCGACGCGCTTGTCGGAGGCGCGGATGCTGATGCGCTCGTCGGGGTTTGCTTTGTCTTCATCGTCGCTCTCCTCGGCCACGCCGTCCTCGGGTATGGCGATGCTCTGGACGCCGGGGGCATGAGGTAGCATACGCAGGTTCTCAAAAAGACGTGTCTTTATTTTGTCCATGTATTCCGGTGTGTTCTGGTTAGCCATGTTGCTCGGACTGATGTGAAGTTTGAAGTCAGGGCCGAAATATTCAAAGTAGTCATTGTATGGTAGTTCGTTGGCAATGTCCGCATTGAGAGCTACCGCAGTCTCATATGTCCAACATCGAGCTACATTTCTGATGGTGTAGCCACCTCCTCCGAGAAGCAATAAAGGCAGGTTATATTTCTTAACAAACTCAACACATTTTGCGTGTCCTTTAAGAGTGAGGTTAAAGCAACCCAGTCTATCACCGGAAAGTGAGTCAGCTCCACACTGTAGCACGATAGCCGAAGGTTGATAGGTCTCCATTACCTTCGTCATGATGGGCTCGAAAATGCTTTGGTAGCTTTCATCTTCAATACCGTCCCTCAGTGGGAAGTTGACAGCATAATACTTGCCTTTACCTGCACCTATGTCACGCAAGTCTCCCGTGCCAGGGAAATATTCACCATATTTGTGGAAGGAAACAGTCATGACCCTATCAGTGGTGTAGAAGGCCTCTTCAACACCATCCCCGTGATGAATGTCGATGTCAATGTAAAGAACCCTCTGGTGATATTTGAGAAGCTCTAAAATGGCAAGTACTATGTCATTAACATAGCAAAAGCCAGATGCCTCACTCTGCAAGAGAAATCAAGAAGAAAAATATGAACAAAGAATGCTAACATAAACCCAATCTCATTCAAATTTTGTGATTAATTAAATAGCTTCAATCCCTAGCATGGCAATTTATTTGGGATTTTTGCTCACTTCAAATTGTTCCCAAAGGTTTAGAAAACAGTTGGTGAACTTATTCTATTGCATGGCATAAGACCAATTGTCTTATGCAAGCAGGTTCATGAAATACTTAATTATGATGAGCATTTCCTATGTGTACCAATTCAGTAGCCCGGAATTTGGATTTAATTACTCATCTGTCCTAGTATGAATGCAATTATTTACTAATAGTAATAATAATATTCATAGAATGTTCTATACTATACTGTACTAATTCTAATAGTAGCATACTACTTCAAGCGACCTCGGCCATCCGCGCAAATCACGTTCCACTTCAGCCGATATTGAGGTTCGCTGCCACAGCTCAAGGCACTCTGCTTCACTAAATCTACTGCCATATTTTTCAGTTTGTGCGGTATTTATTAGTGTTTTCTTATGCTTATATTAGCTTGGCATATCCGGCTCAAGAATGAGGGAAGCATCGGTTAAAGTGAAGTGAAAGGGCAGAGAATATTGCGGTTACCGCGAAACCTGGAAATGGGCTGCAATTGAGCAACGTCAGATTTGATATAAAATGTACAAGTATATTCTTTTCTTGTGTTTCACATACAAGGTTTTGAGTGCAATCTTCATCAAAAGTTTACATAAATTCGCCATAAGCAAACCCATGTAAATGTGAGCTTCAAAGACAATATAAAAAAATTGAATCCACCCGAAACAAGAACTGGTTACTTTAAAATTTCATTACAGGAAACAGGGTGAAAATTGTGCCTGAGTGAGTGAGTCTGCCTGATGTTGCTTTGATGCTGATCTTTAGAAGACTTACCTTTTTAGCGTGATGAAGCCCGCCTGCCCAGTTGATGGCGAGATCACAAGCTTGTTTGTTCAGTTTGACAGCTCCTGCTATGCTGCCACCAGCAGACAGCTGACAGAACTCGTACAGGCCATCAAATACAGGACAGTCTTCTCCAACGTTAACTGCAAAAAACAATCAAACTTGAGAAATTTAAAAAGTACTATCAACTTTGTAAAAATGTACAAAAATTAATGCATACAATAAGTTTTATGAAGTCTTTAATCATCTCCTTGCTGAAGATATGAGAAAATAAATGTAGTAAACTAAATTAAATAGATGAATACAATGAAGTAACAGGCAACAATGCAAAATTTTTTCAGTCACAGTATAAGCTCATATCTGAAAGATGTTCCGAACAAGTTATAATAGCAACATCAGCAATTATCATGGGAGTTACCAACACATCAATTGATCAGGGACAATTACAACAAGCCTTAACACTTACACTTTTGCATTTGTTTGTTGTATTCATTCATATTATCTGGTCGGATTGAGCGGATGAAGCGGATATAGTCATCCGAGTGGAACTTGGTCATCTCGTCTTGAGTGGCTTTGTGTGGACGCTGCAATACAAATAGAACTTAGCAAAATTCTTGCATCACACAAACATGTACCTGATGGCTTGCATCTTACATGAATTTAGAACTTTGAGGCAAGTGAATACATAGCCTTAAATAGGGACTAATAAAACTCAATAACCAAAGGAGTCACATAACTGGATCTTTACACCATTCTAATTTTCTGCTCAGAATATACCAGTACAAAGAATGTAAAAAAAAGTACCTAATACAATTAATTCCTAAATAATCAAATTCTAGATGCTTTCTTGTTTTAGTCCAGGCAAATACCACTTACATAAATTTCCATCTTCCTGTACAGACCATAGTTGAGGAGGAGGTTGTGTGTCATGCGAATACGGTGAGGCTTCATAGGATGTCCTTGTCCATAGTAATAGTTGCCAATATCACCTGCAAATAGCCATTCACTATTAATGATGTTTCGAGTTCATCCCTAACCTTAAAATGCTGCCATAATTATGGAGCATAAAAATTTAATGAATCACCAACTTTTACACATCTATTAGGCTTGAGATAATAGCCAATGCAAGAGTGAATGCATCGCTTAAATAATAATGAAAATTAAAAATGAAAACTCTATGCAATATTAACCAAAAATCTTCAATACCATATATACATATATATATATATATATATATATATACATATATATCAAGACTTAATAGTCAGGTGTTGAAAATGAAAAATTTTGAAATGATTAGAGCACAAATAAAAATATGCACTATCTGAACATAGAAGTATCTTATTTATATAGCATTTACATTCCTAATTAATTAGTGCCCATACATTATCAATATAAGCCACTATTTTCAAGAGGCTGTGTGTGAAATCTGGTGCCAAATCTTTCCCTCTGCCTTTGTTTGAAAAAGCAAATGAATGATTCTAGATTTATTAATCAGAAATTCATAAACTCTGTAATTTAGGTTTGCTTTCAACTCTTCTATTTCATTAGCTTTTGAAATTTTCATTCTTAGGGTATACATGTACAAATGATTTTCATTAATATATATAAAATAAAAAAATTACATGATGACTTGTAATTGTGGACTGGAAATTGTTTCAAGTATTTCAATAAGTAAATCAGGTTCAGGATATACATAACATTATAGAAATTCAGGTTTAATAACATCATGCACAGGTATATACCTTCAAACAGGGTAAAAAGGGACGGGCAGGGTAAATCAGGACGCGCATCCCACATTTTGTAGAAATAATGTAGCAGCTAAACTAATCAAAATATTGCAAAACTAAAAATAGTGGCATAAACTTCAACATTTTTACTACGTATCTATTATGAATAAAGCTAGTCAAGAAATCAAACATTTACCATCTCTAAAAAATCACTGAAAAAAGTATGAAAAGTGCGATTTTGGAAAAGTACCTTAGCTAAGGTCTGGAGCAAAAATAAAATCTTTGCCGTATTAAAAAATTTTACTTCCATAAAAGTTGCACACAGGTGTTGACTTGAAAACGTAATCAACAGAATTCGCCTATCTTGTTCCAAAATAATATGCGTTTAAAAAGTACTTTTTAAATGCCACACTCCTAAAGAGGCCGGTGTCTCCGATGCTACACATGTACAATGAATTTCATAATATATTTTTAAAGATTTAGATATTTTTTTGTATTCTGTCAATTGATTCATGAATCGTCTCCGACTTTACACAATTATGCAAAATTTCAGATCGATTGGGCAGGTAGAAGTGTGTTGAATATCGATTATAAGATTTGTAGCTGACAGACAAGAAACAAGAAGTGAAGTTAAATAGAAGTGTGGAAGACAACACTTCCAAAGAATCCAGTGTCTCCAATCTTACAGATGTACAATGAATTTCTCATTTAATTTTTGAATTAAAAAAATTAGTTTTTCATTTTTTTTAAGATATAAATTTTTTAATATATAATTTTTTTCAAAATTAATTATTCTATTAATTGATTCATGCATTGCCTCTGACTTCACACAAGTGTGCAAAATTTCAGATCAATTAGACAGGTAAAAGTGTGTCAGATATCAGTTATAAGATTTGTAGCTGCCAAAAATTATTTTTTCAATTTTTTAATAATGAAAAACTTTTTTTTTTATTTTTAAAATCTTTTATTTTGACATTTGATTCATGCATTGTCTCCAACTTTACACAAGTGTGCAAAATTTCAGATCGATAGGATAAGTAGAAGTGTGTTAAATTTCGATGATAAGATTTGTAGCAGACAGACAGACAGACAGACAGACAGACTTAAATTTTAAATTTAAGCAAAAATTTAAATTTAAATAAAATCTTCTTGGGGAGCAGAACAGCCTGGATGTTAGGCAGAACTCCTAACATCCAGGTCACGCAATGCAATGGTCACTCCCTAAAGAAGCTTGTTGAGCTCCTTGTTGTTATGTTACATATAAAAGGAAGAGAAGAACTTTGGGGTACTGCTGGTAATAGGTGAGTATGCTCTGCATGTTTAAAATGCTTTAAAATGAAGTTTTATTTCAAGTGTCCCTTTTTACCCCATTTCCAGATTAATTCAGGAGCCTTTTATATTGCATCTGACACCTTACAAATAGCATATGGAATTTTTTTTAAGATGCCATTCGATAACCCTCGCAAAGAGCTATAAAATGAACCTAAACTTATTTTGTGAAATGTTTCATGGTAAGAAGTAATTAACAAAAAATGCTCAAAACGTTCCCTTTTTACCCCATTTGATGGTACTGTTGTAATGGATGAGTACATTTTGCATGCTTCAAATGTTTTAAAATTGAGTTTTATTTTTCAAGTGTCCCAGATTACCCCATTCTCAAGGCCAGGGGTAATTCAGGATGCTTTTAATTTGCGTCTAGCATTTTATGAATAGTATATGGAATTTTTTTGAAGATGCCATGCAATAGCCCTCACAAAAAGCTCTAAAATAAGCATAAATTGTTTATGAAATGTTTCATGGCAAGAAGTTATTAATGAAAAATGAGCAAAACTGTCCCTTATTACCCAGTTTGATGGTATACATCCCACATCAATTATTGTCATGCAAATACTATAAAACATGGCAACATGGACCATTGACGAGGTCATTCAGGAGTCATAAACAATTTTTCCAAGGCAATAACCTTTTGAGTATAGGGTTTCTTTTCTTGAATGTCAAAACAGTCCAAGTCACCTCTTCAATGGTCCAAATCGCCTCAATTTAGGGTACCATTGATTCTACCAAACAAGTTATAAATTTCAGTATCAAATTACAAATTTGTTCAGGATAGGGTTAAAGAATTATTATTAAAAATCTATTTGAATATTTTACCAAAAAATAAGAGGTAAAATTTGTCTGTTTGCTAGAAAAGTTAGTTGAATGAGTAATCATACTCAGAAGGTTTTTATTTTGAAGGTTGTTTACAAAAATATATTCAACTTCAAAGTTCAATCTCAATTGAAAGCTTCTAAATTTGTCATTATCATTATCAACCATTGTGATTTTTGTTTCATTAATGAGTGGTACAAGTCAAGAAATTAAGGAATTTAAAAACAATGATCTTCTATTAGCTTACAATTATTGCATAGAACAACCATAATTAGCTCCTATCTTCAATTATTTTGTGATTATTGCATTAAGATGGCAAACAACTGACTTTTTTATCTTCTCAGTGCACTTGTATGACATTTTAATTACTTCTTTAGGATATTCAGGACAATTTTAAACTAGATCAGGCAATTAGGAATGAGCAAATTCTAAAAAATCACTCATTTGCCACTCTGCACTGAACAGGTCAACAATTAACTTCTTAGGTGGTACCTTCATTTAGCTAGCAATTGTGCTAATGCTGCAGAGGTCAAGCATTTTTTGGCAACATGGCATCATGCTCCGTACATTTACATGAAAAATTAAAAACTTTGTACAAGAAACAAATATGTTATGATAGATTTAAGAAGCAAAATTTAGGAAATCATTAGTATTCACTTATTTCACTATTCCAAGGAAATTCGTATTGTCAACATTTTCATGATTAGAAATAAGAAGCACAAAATTTTCAATTTAAGAAGCACAAGATTAAGATGATTGATGAATTTAAACTCTGTTAGTTCATTACCTTTAAATAGCTGGAAACTGGAATATTTAATTGGCCCTTTCTGTATTATCAGGCTACTTAAATTCCTTAAACAATGCTAGTAAAATTGAAAATTTTGCAGGTGATTTTAAAAAAAGCAGATATGTGCCATTTCACTTCATGAAAAAAATTAGGCAAGGTGAAGAGCCATACCCATAGGTAGTCTAGGGATGGGTAAAATTGCGTGCAAACGCAGGCATTCAAATATGTAAATCAAAATCAACACGTAAACATAATCTTTTTACTATTCTTGTTGGCTTCCGGACTCAATATAAAAAATTGTTCGGATGAAGTGACAAAAGAAAAAGTACGGTAGTGGAAGTTAACAAAATTCGACACGAAAATAGCATATTATAAGGCAATTTGGCAAGGAAACGGTTTCGAACATGAATTATGGTCGAAAAATATTTTAAATAACTATACTTGAAAATACCAGGCTAGCTAAGCTTTTCTGATAATCGCAGCATCTAAGTCCAAACCTCAACAACCAACCATTAGCGTCAGAATCGTACAGTTACAGATGGAGTAAATAACTGGCGACCCAAATAATTACTTATTTAGGAATTCATTCGTCATAAAGATCAGTTCCCACAAAATAGTTATGATACTCACTGTCATAGTAATAGCACACTTTTTTGCGGCTGTGCGGGGTTGAAGTCATTGTTTTACAAGTTAACGAGGACGCGTATGGGTTCACGTTATCACTCCTCGAACTTACCCGCTCGTGTGCTCATCACGCCTGACGTAATGCAGGTTCCCTAAATGTAGGGGAAAACATACTATTCTAGGGAACTGTTTTTTTATGATTTGGCATTTTAACCAATAATAATGAAATCAGGTTAATAATGAATTCTCTTTATTAAATCTAAAATATAAATAATATGAAATAAATAAACGAAGAACGCTTCTACCCCGATTCCTCATCATTCTCAGAGGACCATCGCTCCTGTTGATATAGTAATCCGTTAGTATGTCTTGACAGCCCCACTTTAATTTGTGAAATATGTCGAGTAAATATTAAACTAATTTTCGCTAGTTTCATCAATAGCTTTTTTTCTTCAAAAATTCTATACGGAATGTTTATTTTCTTACCTCAAAAATTACCCTGAATATCCGAGGAATGCTTGAAATCTCTAAAACATGGGAAGTACTTGGAACTAAGAGAAGCTTACATACAAGAAATGAATTTTTCAACTACAACATTATGCCATTTTTGAGGCGAACACGATAATATCTAACTTTATATAAATTTTTCCCACTAGAATTTTGATCAATTATACTTCGCAAATAATATAAAGTACCGTAAAGAAAAATCTGTAATGATAAACGAGTTTTCTAACTACCGTCGTAGACAAGTTTTGAATTCCGTTACATTGATTAAGAGTTAACCTCATTTAATGGGAGGAAACATATCGATTGGTTTTGTTTATCATAAGTTTTGTATTTACAGATAGGACAAGATAAAATTGCACCATAATTGTGAAATGACAAAGTTCCAGTCAAAGAGAGTTTAACTGAATTCAAATTACGGTCTCGGCGGATTACGATTACCTATTACTTTAGAACTTGAGATTGGCTACAAACTGGTTTGGTTTAGTGGCCACATGGTTACTAGCGCTTCATCTCTTCAGCTATCTCGCAATGAAAGTCAAGGCTCAACATCGCCAACGACGCAGGATGGCTCAATTATAGCAAATTTCTTAAATAAACCCAAGTGGTTTAAGGGCAGGGTGGCACAGTGGTTAAAGTTCAGACCGCAAAATGCTGTTGACGTTCTGCAATGTTAAGAATCGGCGACAGACCTACGGCCTAATAAACGCAGAAACTGCTATATTACCGCTATATATTAAAGGACAAGTCTTTTAATAAAGATTATGATTATGAAGCTTTCCAGTCTCAGTTATCGACGTCTGCGCGTTGACCTCATTGAAGTATACAAGTATACCAATGGTTTATGTAAGGTCCAGAAGGATTACTAGAGTTTGAAACCCACTACGCATCAGATCTGCAGTCAGATTTCAATCCCTGCGGGAAGGATCACTTTCCGTGGCAGTGCCGAGGCTGTCTAACGTCCTACCAAAGAATCTAACATAGTAGATTTTATTCACCCTTAGACCTTCAAGAGACGACTGGGCGTGTTCCTGGGCACAATCCCTTATCGCCCCTGCAACACTACCAGCGGCGAAAAGCAAGCAACATAATCGTGCATCAGCTGGCCCAAATGAGGGCGGATGCGCGATAGTCAGAGGCGGCGATCCATCGTGGCCTGGCATCTGCTACGTCCGAAACAAATACTAAGGATACAAGGGGCCACAGCTATAAGCTAAAAATTGTGGTGCAACTCACCCACGCGAAAACACTTTTTATCGTTTCGAGTGACCGACATGTGGAACAGATTTCCTGATGAACTTGTCGACGCTCCGAGTATGAAAGCGTTCAAGAACAGACTGGACAAGGCTACGCAGGAGCATATGTTTAGTCTTGAAATGCCGAGTACCCTACGGAACAACTAAGTCTAGTAGGTAACGATTTCAAACCACCGCCCGTTGAAAAGATTTGATCATAAGAGCCGTTTTTAGCGCATTTTCTCATTTGTGGAAAAGTGCACTATTGTGCTCGCCATGTCCGTCCGTCTGTCTGTCCGTTCGTGACTTCACGTTTTCGTCGACGAGAAAATGCGCTCTCTGTCACTCACTGCAGTGAGTGCTGAGCTATATTTTTTTTAGATCTGTGAACAAGTCACGAAAAGTACAAAAATCAGCGATAGGCCTATTCTTCTACGCCGAAGATACTATACTACCCTAATGTACTTGAAAATATAACAACCCCATGACTGCCCTGCCTGCCTGACTTAACCCCCGCCGTCAGACACCGCGAGCTCTGTGTTTAGGGGCTCAGGAACAATGCCCTCAGGAATACGAGATCACATAAAATTTTCGACGAGCGCAAACACAAGACGGAAGTCCTCATCGAAGAGGACTGAATGACTATAAGACTGGAAAGATCCTCAAAATTCATTTCCGTATTTTTGACTTTGTACTAACATCGTACTGAAGATTTGATCATAAATAATAATCGTTTGGTTTCTCTCGTGGACTGAAAATTTTTTACGGGGTCATAAATCAAACCGCAAATGGGCCATCTTGATCAAGGTTTAATTGAAACAAGATAGTTTTGACACGCATTACAAAAGATGAATTTATTAGTCACTTGAATTTAATTTCAAGAATTGAAAGTTGCCCAAACATGTGAAATCTAAACATGATATTTGTTCAAACAATAAAATGGAATCACACTACGAAAAAAGTGCATATTATCAAAAATTCAACTGGCTCCAGACGATAAATATAGATAAAAACTGGAAATTCAATAATGTAGTCAATAATCTTAAACTAAGAATTCAAAAACATTCAGTGCGGCAAATGAAACATACAGCGCTGAAAGTGTTCATGTGAAAGAATTGGTTCCTCTTTTGACAATTTATGAACGATTGCAGCATGAGATACAAACACATACGAAGCCTCTCGAGATATTGCAATCCATGTGTCAGCAGTGCAGAGGCTGGGAGATTAATAATTCAAAACCATGTTGGCAAGACATTTGAATGTCCTCGTAAGTTGTTAAATGCCTAAAATAACATGAAGCAGCCAAATCTTACTTCTGACTAGGAAAATATCAAGAACCTTATTTCCGATTTCGTGAGGATAATCCTAAGGAGCCGAAGACTTGATTGCTTGAAAAATAACTATCATCTTAGTTACAATACAAAACTTGACCCGATGAATTACAAAACGATACTTTCCAGTAGAATTTAAATGAAAATTTACAAACTGAAGACCGTAAACAACACAACCATGAACTACTTATGTAAGAACTATAAAGGCCTAAGTAGCAAGATTTACAACACAAATGATAACTAAGGCGATGAGATGGCGAAATGACGTCTCATCCCCTATTTTAATATCAAATTATAAAGCCCTAAGTTATGTCTTGTGATCATAACTCCTGTTTCCTCTCGATCTTGACGAGCTCAACGGTGTTCATAGCTCCTGTTTCCTCTCGATCTTGACAAGCTCAACTTCGAACATGAGCGTCGCATGGCCGGGAATGTTGGGCGGTGCGCCTGATGCCCCATAGCCGAGCTCTGATGGGATGACCAGCTTGCGCTTCTCTCCTTCACACATCCTGAGACAAAATTCAGGCAGGTTATAACAAATGACTATGAGATAATTGAAAGAAAAATTCGTTACAAATGCACAAACTCAATCATTTGAAATTAAATACACTCATTACTTGTCTGAGGTTTTTGATTGCCCAAAAATTGTTGGAGGATGTAAATAATATGCAAATAAATACCACAAAAGTGACTTTATGATGATTTTTAAAACCTGTCTACCGGTGAAAAGTTGTAATAACAAGTAAATAAGTTTTACAAGATGACAAGCTGCTGTGAGGAATTCTCACCCAATGAGACCTTGATCCCATCCACGGATGACTTGTCCTGCACCCAATGTGAATGTCAGTGGCTCACCACGAGGAATGGAGGAGTCAAACTCAGTACCATCTTCCAATTTTCCCTGAAAAAGAAGAAAACATTAATTTTAAATTATCTTTTTATTATTATATGTTAGAATGTTAGTGTGAATCTCCTTGCATCTCCTTGTTTTCAGAAAGCTTATTGTGCAAGAATACTGCTCATGTCTAAAATTTTATTTTTTTTTTGTCAAACCATTAGGCATTATATATTGAGCAGTTGAGTGAGGTAAAATTAAAAAATCATTGTTAATTTCAGGTATAGATTATTCATTTATTTTTGTAATAGGTCTTCCTTTAGTCAACATACTTTGAATATCCTGGTCAGAAAATGATTAGAATGATTTGGGATAAAGGATTCTCAAATTTCAGGTTTCATCAATCCTGAGAAATGCATGACAAAGAAAGGCACTAGTAATTAACACAATGTACAGTGCTGAAATTGTGGATGATCTGCACACTATAAAGATTTGTAGCCACCTTTTGATGCTGATTAAGTCATAAAAACAAGTAAATTATCTGCCTCTTGAAAACAGGTTTATATAGGCAAACGTTACAAATATCAAAATGATCACTTGCACAAAGCTAATTTATTTTGAATATACTGTAATAATTACTCAAATATCATAATAAGATGGAAATCCAGGATTAAAAATTAAACTTATTTGGTCTTACTGTGTAATGCATGTGAAGTAAATCCCCTTTCCTGCTTCTCGTTTGACAATTCTCAATGCGTTTCTTAACACCAATTTGAAGTTTCTGAGCCTTTTCTTTTTTATCCTGTGCTTGTACAGTGACAGCTAACAAACAGCAAAACAAAGACAGCAATTTGATGAACTCCATTTTATTTTTTCTGCAATTCTCTGTAATGAAAAAAGGATTTTGATTTGTGAGGACAATCAAATCAGGACATACATCATAAAATGAACAAGCTCCATCAAGGCGATCAAGCAAATCCTGAACAAGAAAATCACAATTCAAAATAATTAATACAGAATTGTGCGGATCCAGCATTATCAAGAAAGAATTTATAGCTAAGAACCAATGCAGGAGCATGAGGAGTGGACGAGTGATCAAGTTAGCCACAACTTTAGAGGCTTTCAGCCGCTGAAACTTAGAGCCTGCTGAGTGCTGCCTCAATAGTGGATAAATGGCTCAATGGTTTCAACATACTGAATTTTCTTTATGAATATAACTTTAACCATAATTGCCTTGTGCTAGGAGGAATATGCCCTTCTCTTTCAATGAGAATATGCCCTTCTCTTTCAATGAGGATATGCCCTTCTCTCAATGCCCTTCATTTTTTATAACCTACATAAAAAATAACCCCAAATCTCACTGTTTTGTCAGTCAAGACACTCAACTGAGATATATTCTTTGTGTCAGATCAATAATATTTAACATTTTGATCTAAAATAATCAAGTAGGTCATCTAGAAAACTACATATAAACTTCTACCACCAAGTGAGCTGCTGTTGTCAGCAAACTGTGCTCCTGTCAGACTTACACAACATCAGTGTTTCACAAGCTACAGAGGTGGGCCATGGGAGGTACTCAAGCTTTCCATGGCACTCATGCATCTCACTTCATATCGTTTTTGCACTGGCAGGCAATTAACTCATAGACAATGACATCAAAAACTATTGGAACAAATAAACTTCAAGAAAAAAACCAGCAATGAAGATGCATTTGTTCTTAGCTTCTTAGGTACATGCACATGCAAATGAATTTTTATCTCATCAGTATCAGTAACATCACCGTAAATAATATTTAGGGTCAGAGTTATACATGGAAATGGCTCTACTTGAGTCAAGAAATTTGGTCCTTTCATTCTCATAATTTTATAAATGTTTTTGATTTCAAAATTGTGCATTTCAATACCGTCAACTGGGGCTACTCGGGACAAGCGGGGCTACTTGGGACAGGCCTCCGACACGTCGTAAAACTGTTGTAGTAGCAAAACTAATTGGAATATTGCAAAACTAAAAATAGTGGCGTAAACGTCAACATTTTTCCTATCTATGTAGTATAAAGGAAGTCGAAAAATACTACATTTACTTGCTTTGAAAAATTCTTGAAAAAAATGGTGAAAAACTATATTTTGTAAAGTTACAACTGCTAAGGTATGTAGCAAAAAAAATATTCGCCATATTAAAAAATTTTACTTACATAAAAGTTGCACCCAGGTGTCGGCTTGAAAACGTAATTGACAGAATTTGCCTATCTCATTCCAAAAAGAAATGGCAGTCATTTCCGCACAGCGGGGCTACTCGGGACACCCTCCCGGGGCTAGTAGGGACACCTCCAAAAACACATTTATGGTAGAACCTCAGTTAGCAAAGGCTCCAGTTAAGAACAAATTGATTAAAAACAAAGAATATTGATTACATTTACCTCGCTGAGCGAAAAAAAGTTCACTTATCGTCACACAAATTACAAGCCGTCCTGTATGCTTACAGATACAGAAAAAATGCTATAAGGCTGCCGATATGAAGCTTGCAGTGAACAAGGTTGTTGTAAATGCTCAATGGCATGTTCATGGATATGGTAATATCACATCAATAATACAGTAATATCCCATCAATAATAGGGTACTGTCAACTGGGGGATTCAGCTGTGTTCATAATGATGGCCAAAGCAGGGTCATAAACAATGGCCAGTCACTCCGGCGTTTATGACCTGGTTTACAACCCTGGCGTTTATGACCCCGGCGTTTACGACACCGCGTTTACGACCCCAGCATGAATAAAAAACGAGGCCAAAGTCACCCCAGTTGACGGTAATTAATGTTTATGGTAATATCATATCAATAAAGGAAAAACAAGTAAAAATCACAGAAAATGTCATTTATTCTACCTCTACATCATCTACAATGAAAGAGGAGGGCTTCAGAGTACTGTTAGTAATGGATGAGTACGCTCTGCATGCTTCAAATGTTTTGAAATGAAGTTTTATTCCCATTGTCCCGAGTAGCCCTGACCGACGGGGCTACTTGGGACAATCTTTATTTTGCGTCTGGCACCTTAGGAATAGCATATGGAATTTTTTTGACAATGCCATTCGATAGCTCTGGCAAAGAGCTATAAAATGAGCTTAAATTTGTTTATGAAATGTTTCATCATAAGAAGTTATTAACAAAAAAAACGATCAAATTTGTCCCGAGTAGCCCCAGTTGACGGTACTGCATTTGATAAATTGGTAGAAAGCAATCTATATTAATGCTTGGTAAAATAATTGTGCTGTGTGTAAGATGGAAAGCATCTAATAAATACATGACAGAACGGAGGGCAGAAATCATTACCCACAAAGTTGTAGCATGACATGACAGGGTTAGGCCAGCAAAAACAGATTGAAAAAAATTTAGTAATTAAGTAAACAGCAGGGTTGCCTAGTGCCTGGCAGCAGCCTGCAAATTGCAATGGGTCAGAGACATATTGCAGAGTCCAATTTCCCTGGTACCTTAACACGTTGACTACAAAGTGGTACATATGCGTACCACGAAATGTATTTCCCCAAGACATAGTGATACATAAATAAGGTTGCCTAAAATTGGCCAAATCCAAGAAAAAAAAGGCCAAAAAAAGGTGATTAACTCAATATATACTAGTTTATTTGTAGCTTCTGCTATAAAAATTCCATTCATTTTCTTTTTGCAGTATTTAAAATTTAATTAGGAAGTACCCCTATCATAAATTTTAGCCGGCCAAGGCAATTGAGAAAAACTAAATCAAGGAATTTGTCCGGAAAAAATGACTGTCTGGCAAAACTGTTTAAAAACAGTACTAAAAATGAAATAATGGTACAAGATGAAGCAATCGTAGTCAACATGTTAACTACTAGATTTCTCTGGTCCATTTTTGTATCTCTCATTGATTATGGTATAGTTATAGATAAAAATTAATATTGTTTAGTTTGGTACTGTTGGTACTGTTAATAAACACTTCTTCATGTCCGAAACAACACATACCAACAAATGGGGTAATAAGGGACGGTTTTGAGCTTTTTTTGTTGATAACACCTTACCAATAAACATTTCATGAACAAATTTAGGCTCATTTTAAAGGCCTTTGCAAGGGCTATCATATGACATCTTAAAAAAATTTCATATGCTATTTGTAAGATGTCAGACACAAAATAAAAGCATCGCTAATTACCCCTGGGAATGGGGTCATCCGGGACAATGTTGTTGACAAGACACAATACATTATAACATAACTAATCATGATATAACACTATACATTGTAACATAACATAGAACAAAACAAATTATACCACAACATATCCCAATAAAACACATTATAAGACATCATAACTCAACCCAGCACATCAAAGCACATCATAATATAGCATCAAAAATTTTAACACAATCAAACATGATACAACACATTGTAACACAACATAACATAACACATAATACTATATCAGATCACATAATAACACAACCTAATATAATAGAATACATCATAACATAAAAAAATTAAAACACAACAGAACACAGGACAACAGAACATAATATAATACAATATATTATGTTGCATTATAATGTGATGTATTATGTTATGTTGTTATACTGTGCTATGTTATGTTATGTTGTTATACTGTGCAATGTAATAAAGTGTTATGTTGTTATACTTAGTATCCTTAGTATTTGTTTGGGACATAGCAGTCCCAGGCCACGATGGATCGCCGCCTCTGATTATCGTTCATCCGCCCTCATTTGGGCCACCTGATGCACGATGCTGTTGCTTGCTTCTTGCCGCTGGTAGTGTTGCAGGGGAGGTCGATCTGGAATTCTGCTCAGGAACACGTCTAGCTGTCTCTTGCAGGTCTCCAGGGTGAATTCCCCCTCTCTTAGATCCCTTGGTAGGGCGTTGAACAGCCTTGGTCCTGCCACGGAGAGTGATCCTTCTCAATACTGTGCTATGTTATGATGTGTTATGTTGTTATACTGTGCTATGTTGTTATACTGCGCTATGCTATGCTATGATGTGTTATGTTATGATGTTATACTGTGTTGTGTTATGATGTGTTATGTTATGTTGTTATACTGTGCTATGTTATGATGTGTTATGTCATGTTGTTATACTGTGCAATGTTATAATGCATTATGTTGTTATACTGTGCAATGTTATAATGTGGTATGTTGTTATGCTGTGCTATGTAATGATATGTTATGCTATGTTGTTGTACTGTGCTATTATTTGATGTGTTATGTTGTTATACTGTGCTACATTATGTGTTATGTTGTTATACTGTGCTACATTATGTGTTATGTTGTTATACTGTGCTATGTTATGATGTTTTATGTTATTATACTGTGCAATGTTATAATGTGGTATGTTGTTATACTGTGCTATATTAAGATGTGCTATGTTATGTTGTTATACTGTGCTATGTTGTTATACTGTGCAATGTTGTTGTACTGTGCAATGTTGTTGTACTGTGCTATGTTGTTATACTGTGCAATGTTGTTATACTGTGCAATGTTGTTGTACTGTGCAATGTTGTTGTACTGTGCTATGTTGTCGTACTGTGCAATGTTGTTGTACTGTGCAATGTTGTTGTACTGTGCTATGTTGTTGTACTGTGCTATGTTGTTGTACTGTGCTATGTTGTTGTACTGTGCAATGTTGTTGTACTGTGATATGTTGTTGTACTGTGCAATGTTGTTATACTGTGCAATGTTGTTGTACTGTGCTATTTTGTTATACTGCGCAATGTTGTTGTAGTGTGCTATGTTGGCGTACTGTGCAATGTTGTTGTACTGTGTAATGTTGTTGTACTGTGCAATGTTATTATAATGTGCAATGTTGTTGTACTGTGCAATGTTGTTGTACTGTGCTATGTTGTTATATTGTGCAAT